AAGGGTTAGAAGTATGAAATAATCTAATAAACTTAATGTTTGTTGTTACTTTTTGTCTGGGAAATGCTGGATTACCTGCTAGTATTATATTATATTCTTTATTGTTTAATTTGTTAGACCAGTGTTCTGCAACTGGTGTGACATGAACTTTTACATATTCTATTAAAGTTTTATTTATATATTTTTATCACAGCCGTCATGTTTCTTATGCGTGTATTTCATTCACTGATGAAATAAGATGATGTTAAAGCAATAAACACGTATGTTGTCCCAGTACTCACTTATTCTTTTGGAGTTATACATTGGATTCACACAGATCTTGAGCAACTCCAAATGAAAACAAGAGCAACACTTACTAAGCATAAACATCGTCATCCTAAATCTGCCATAGAAAGATTAACCCTTCCACATAAAGATGGCAGATGTGGCCTGATCAACATAGTTAATCTCCACTACAAACAAATACAGACACTGCGAGAGTTTTTCTACAAAAAACAAGAAACATCACAATTATATAAAGCAGTAACTCTAGCAGACTCAAATAATGCACAATTAAACTTACACTCACATCATATGGACATAACACAACATATAAACAGCATAGACACCATTAAGCAATCGTGGGCTCGAAAGATACTCCATGGCAGACATCCCTATAACCTGGCCTAGAATTTTGTTTAAAAACTGTGCCAAATAGCTGATTAGCTCAGGGATGCCTCTTTGGAGAGATGAAGGTTCATGATTGCCATACAAGATCAGGTCATAAATACTAAAAACTACAGAAAACACATACTCAAAGATACAACACTCACAAATGACACATGCAGAAAATGTCACATCATGCCAGAAACTATACAACACATCACTTCTGGTTGCAAGCTCTTGGCACAGACAGATTACTTACATAGACACAATCAAGTAGCAAATATAATACACCAAGAGCTTGCAAAGAAACACAAATTGGCAGACATCCACGAACCATACTACAAGTATATTCCACAGACAGTATTGGAAAATAACACGCACAAAATGTATTACGACAGAGCCATAATCACAGATAAAACAATTTACCACAACAGACCAGACATCACACTCATTGACAAACACAATAAAATCACATACATTATAGACATATCTGTTCCAAACACTCACAATATACAAAACACGTGCACTGAAAAAATCAGGAAATACACAGAACTCACCCAGGAAATAAGGCATCTGTGGAGGATGGATAGGGTGCTTATTGTACTGTCATTCTCTCCTGTACAGGTGTGATACCACACACACCATACAAAAGCCTGGAAACATTACAATTGAATAGAAATACGTACATCACACTACAGAAGGCCACTATATTGAATACATGCTATATTGTTAGGAAATTCCTGAATACAGACACTGATACACTTATTTAATTTTTTTTTTTTTTGGTTGCTATGCCTTGACTCTGGTCTGGCATAGTACACAGCCACCAGTGTCAACCAAGTATAACCCTCTAAACCCAAAATAATAATAATAATATAAATAAACTGCAGGTATATCTCCAGCCGAGACAAAAGTACAGTTACGAACTAACAAAATTTTGAACTATCTGAGTTCGAATTAACAAGGATTTCCTGTAATACCTAGTTGATAAAAAAAATGTATTGCATAATTTTTTCATAAAACGCATATTTTTGCATAAAATTTAACACTATTTTGTTGTAGCATTTTATTAACATTTCTTCATTATCCAATTTGGTACTATTTCAGCCCTTTTTTAAAATACAGCACTCCAAAAATACTATGCGTTTTTTTTGTTATATCCCAAAAAAGGAAGTCCTTCACATACACAGAATTTAGCTTGTAAATTCAATTCTTGAATCAAATTTACAAGCTAAATTCGAATCTGAGTAAGAATAAATTCGAGTAAATTCGATTCTTGAATCGAATTTACTCGAATTTATTTTTACTCAGATTCAAGAATCGAGTAAATTCGATTCAAGAATCGAATTTACTCGAAGAATCGAATTTACTCGAATTTACGAGCTAAAACTGTGGGAACCCGATGAAGAGCCCAGAAGGGGTCGAAAACATTTGTTTTTGTACTTGTTAGTCGATCATACCACACCATAAATTGGTTCTGTGTATGTGATTGTTATATAAGTGTGGTGAGTAGTTAATTTTTATAAAGGAAATCCTTTTCTGAAGAGTCCACACTGAAGTAAATATTGTAGTCATTTCAATACTGTAAGCATTGAAACTGACACTAAGCATACAACTACCATTCTCCCTTGTATCACACACAATGGTCACAATCCTTTCGTATCACACTTGAATAACAAAACAGAAGATTGCTGACATTTTTTATATTCACTCTTTACTTTTTTTTATCTTTTTATTTGTATGATAAGAATATATTTTTAATACAATTTTCTTTATATTTTATGTAGCTGTATATTCTAATATTTCCATACTAAATTTATAATTTTTTTCATATACTTCCAATAAGATATATATCATAGATGTCACATAAATTGATTTGATTAGATTACAACTAAATTAATAAATCACAAAGTACTTTATATTTTAATATAAGAATTTATCAAAATATTACTAATGAAAGTATATATTAAATTTATAGTGAATTGAAAATTGGCATTTATTTTTATTATATTATCTTACTAAAAATATTAATTATTAGTGTTAGTGTAACATGAATATCTGTCAGCATAGAATGAATCAATTCAATTAAACATACAAAAAATTAAAGTGAATAGTTAAAAGTTAATGAGTTTGCTTTTGCTCAGTCTAAATGTTTAATTTTATTATAATTTAAACCAATTTCTACTTCTAATTTCCTACCTTATCCCTACCATTATTCCATTATCAGACTATTGATAAAAGTTTCATATTTCTGGCTTACTGTTTTTTGCCTGAAAGATCGGGCTAGAATTTGGCTAATTAAATGATTGTTTAATTAGCCAAATTCTAGCCCAATCTTTCAGGCGATCGTTGGTTATTTCATTTTATATACTCATTGGGCTATAAGATATTTATTACTGTTTTAATTTTCAAAAGAATATTTGTAATCCTTACATATAATTATTCCCATAATCTTGCTAACAAAATTAATCAAAATTGTATTATGTTCCATGATATTCACAATTTATTATTATTTGTGTTAGTGAAATTTAACATTTTGATGTATCCTGCATGGCTTATATCAATGGCTAGTGTTATGCTAGACCAATGTCAAGGCATAACTACATGAAAAATTGTTTTGTTTACATGCTGTTAATGTGTGTTTCTGTGTTTAATAATTTCCTGACTATATGATGTGTTTTGTATGGAAGCTTTCTGTAATGTGTATAACTTATCCATTCTCCACAAGCACTATTTAATGGTGAGTTCTGAATCTAGGAAAGGAATTAAACAATTTTGAAGTATTACAATGAAATATAAAACACAGTCAACCCCTGATTAAAACCTCTCAACTTGTGAAAACAAAAACTGGTATATTAAAAAGTACTTTTAAGTCCAAACAACTGGTTGCATTTGCTATCTGCATAGTACAACAAATGGCAAATATAATGCTGTAATGAGCAATAAATACACACTATATAACAATAACTTTTAGCTTAACAATAAGTCTAGTTTAACTCTAATTTGTGCTGTTACTATATAAAAATCAGCAATATAATTAACTTTTGATGATGCTGCTTGATTCAGAATTTTTATGGTAATTTAAAATTCACTGTAAAGTTAAAAGTGAATTAAATAAGGAAGGATAATAGAAATAAAATACATTCACACAAAGATTGCAATATATCTCAGTATGATTTTTGGTGACTGATTATTATTTGATGTTGACTGTCTTTGTAGTTTCTGCAAATCTTTGCATTAATAAAAAGTCATAATTAAATTATCCCTCTAAACAAAATCTTTCACTAGAATAGACTCAAATTTGACCAAAGGAACAGTAAAGATAACAAGTCTTGTGTCATGTCAAGATGACTTTTGATCTTGGTTTAGGTGCAGAGGTGACCTGCTTAAAGGTGAAAAAATGTAATGTGTAGGACCTCACACTTTCAGGAGCCTCTCAAATTTGGTAGGATATTAAACAGTGAAATCATCAAATTAGTAATTATTAAAAATATAATTCTATTAGTATCTACTGCATCTATATAAAATCATTTTCAAAGTTAAAATTGATCAAGAATTACCTCAACAATGAGTCAAGAGAAACTTCTTTCACATTCAATCTTGTCCATTGAAAAAATTTGCTGCAGAACTGGACTTTTCCTCTGTAATCAATAAATTCAGCACTACTAAAAGCAAGAGCAGTTCTGCAGGTAAATTTCTATAAACCTATTAAACTTTCCAATTCAATTGTATAACTATCATACACATTTTTATTACTTCATTGTAAATGTATAAAATAGCTACTGTCTGTTTATACATGAAAAGCATTCATATTATTGTAGACTTAAATAAATGTACTCTCAATCTCCATTGCTCTTTTAATGGGTCTCAAAAATAAATTTTTTATAGGGCAATCTCTGCTTAGATGTTTGAGTCTGACACTATTAGTTGCTATTAATTATATAAGCTAAACATTTTAAGCTAAACCTAATATATTTTTTAAACAAAGATTGGCTTGGTGATGTTTATTGGAACCAATGAATGTAGTCCCAGGTGACACATTGAATGTGTCACTGGAAACTAACTACAATGAAATGTATAAACAACACTTACATTCCATTCACAAGTAGAAGTAAATGGTCCATTCACATCTTTTGCTTTTGCCTGACATATCATCACATTTATTACGACAAAATAACATCTTGACATGACAATAGAGTAATTGAAAAACCATTTTTTTTAATATTGTGAAAAAAACCATCACAGATTATATGCAGAAACTTATAATCTGCACATCATAGTTAAATTTTTTAACATAATCCACCAATTACAGGCAGCAAATTGACAGTAAGTTTTAATTTTTATCAAATATTTACCTCATGATGTGCAAAAAATTCAGATATTTCTAATGTGGCTCTTAAACATCGAAGTCGTTGTAAGTATTGATCCTGAAAATAATAAATTCATAAATTCACTAATATAAAAAAAATACTACAAAAGTATTTTCTTCTTAAAAATTAATATGATGTAAACATGGCATAACCTATTCAACATTTCATAATCTTAAAGCCAAAAGCTACAATGAATTATACATACACAAATATGGAAATGAAAATTTTTTTCTTAACTATGTATTTCATTACACTACAATTATTAGTAGAAAAATTCATTTTTTTATTATTGAATTTAATATAACTAACAATTACCATCATCATAGTCATCCAATAAATCAAAATAAATTCTTAATGTTCTTTTTCTTAAATTGGTTTAAATCCCAGCAAAAGATTTTCAATTTAATTACCAGAGGATGATCGCATCTTTCACCCCATAGCCACTTACTTTCCCAGTTGACACATCGAATGGGTCACTAGAAACTAACTACAAATATTCACCATTGGTCAAGAATGGGAACATGGCAAAAAGAGGGCATTGAAATCAAGGGAGAGGACACCCAAAATAAAACAATAATATCAAAACCGACAATGGGAGTTTGCCGATTCATCTCCTTCAGAAAGGATATTCAAGTGTGTTCCCCCATTGCCAATCCTGCCTGCTGCTGTCATCCCCCAGACTGTAGCTGTTTTTTTGGACATTTGAAATTCTCCATCCAGGAGCCTGACAAACTTGAACTTTCCTACCCAGTTGCAACCAATCCATGACAGTCCGACAAAGTTCAAGAATCTACAGAACAAGATATTTATCGCATCGAGAGAGAGAGAGAGAGAGAGTTTATATCTACTATACTTAGTCTGATCAATTATGTTACACTATATCAGCTTTGTCCATTATGTTATGCTATGTATGCCTTATCCATTATATGAGTACAGTAGAGCCTCGAAAACTCGGCCTAATGTGGACCGAAGGGTGGCCGAGTTTGTGAAAATGCCGGGTTATCGGGAATGGGGTTAAAAAAAATAAGTATGAGTGTTTCCTCAGAAAATACTGTACTCGTACTTGTATGTATTGTTTACTTGAGAATACAACAGAGAATAAACTGCCCAAATACCCTTAAACAAAGGAAAAGTACGTCTTTTATGAAAGCATAGAGTCTTTACTACATGAAATTGAAAATTAATGAATACACTGTGTACAGTAATTTACCTGATAAGACAGACCTCAGAAAAATACTTTATGAGGCATAAAGCTGTCTTTATCATGAAAATTAATTAACTAAGGATTTTTTTGCCCTGCCAGGGTGTGCCCGAGTTATCCGGAGTGCCGGGTTATCGAGTGCCGAGTTTTCAAGACTCTACTGTATAAAAAAGCTACAGCAGAACTCTATGTTATTGTATGTATATGTGTAAATAGTTTACATAAATAAATGTGTATTATACTTCTATAATTGAGTTGTGGTGTGCACTCTTTTCCAACATGTTGTCTCTCAGACAGCCTCTATCCAATCGCCTACTAATGAATTTGAGTGCCTACAAAAGCAACCACTCACACAAAAAGTTTTCTGTGTCTGTCCAAAAGACACAGTGGTGTCAATCCTGATGACACAGTCATTGCAAATTGTTGACCCTTTGGTCCCATGGTGCTTAAGCATAGGGGCACTTCATGCATTGTCACATTTTCATGGCTTTATGACATTGCAAAACAATACTTTATAGTCATAATTTAAATTTTAATCATTTTAACTGAATTGAATTTTGTAAATAATTTCAGTCAACTATTTTAAAATATTGCAATATAATATAGAAAATAAATTATATTAGAGTACTTCAATTAAAATTAAGTTTATTATTTACATTTCAGATTCTTTTTACCCTCAAAAAAGTTTCTAAAATAATGTTTATTTCCAACAGAATATTTAGATATTGAAATCTACATTGAAAACTAGGAATATTAATTTCATAAAATCACTATAAAAAACTACTTTACTTTTGATTCCATAAAAATATTTCCAAAAGTTGGTTGAAAATCAAGATAAAAATTAATTTTGATGAATTTAAATTGAGTCTTGATTTTATATACACCAGGGGTCGGCAACCTATGACACGTGGGACAATTTTTAGCATCACTTTGATTGAATAGAAATTAGTAAAAATTATTTAAATTATTAATTTTTGAAGACCATTATAACCAGACCAATTTTGATACTATATATAAAAAAACTGGTAGCATCATAGCAGCACCCGGAATAACACTATAAATTTGGTTTGGCACAACACCACTGAAAGGTTGCCGACCTGATATACACCATGCTTATAAAATCCATGCACAACTTGGGCATATACATGATAAATGCACAGAATAAAAACACTTGAAAACTTGATTCTGAAATTTTGCAATTTATTTAGTTTGAGTAAATAAAATAATTTAAATTTCTTTTCAGGCACTACAGACGAATGAAAATGACAACAGTAGAAGAAAAGATTAACTACATGTTGACATAGTGTCATCATGTATGCAAATTTGCCTCTGCTAGTCACTTTCCAATGGTACATGAAGAGATAGGATTCCATCTGAGACTTTCACCAGTCTATGGATAGCAGATAAAGACACTATTGCATCTGTTCATGCTTGTCTCACAACAGCCCATCATGAACAGCTGTTCATGCACCCCAAAAGAATTCAATTAATAAGTGGGTGAAAAAAATGAGTTAAACTGTATCCACAAATGACAAATCTTAATCCAGGAAGACAAATGGAAAAATTAACTTGACAGATGCATTCTGAATGATGAAGTTATATTGAGAGTTAAAAGATAAAATTGTACTGCATTAAAATGTGGAAGATGAAGCTTTTAAATACAATTAACAATATTCTTCTATTATGATGCATTCAAAAATATCAAACTTTAGAATTAAACTAAAGGTTCATTAGTACCTTGTGTACATAAATGCTCTATTTCTTTTTATGATTTTAGATAGCTGCAATAGTTAGTTATATTATTTATTTCTCGTCACACACAAAATATATAACATTAGTAAANTATAAAAATATTAATTTATATTATTATAATTATTGCAACTGATTAAACTTCATTATTAGAGTAGTTTTTACTATTTCATAAATTATGTAAAAGTGTTGACACTGTTTTAAAGTAATTCCAAACATAATATTCATAATGCAGAATATTACTGTATCAGAATACATTTAAACTAATAAATTTTAAGAATATAATAAGATAAAAACAGTGCATATACAACATATATAAAATAGTCAACAAAAAAGATTTTTGATGTTAAAATGATCATTTTAGCACCAGAAAATAGATTTCTTTGTTGTCTGCTTTAATAATATAGAATAAACACACTAATTTTTGATATATGTAGAAAATTATATTTTCGTACCTGTATTAAATATGTATTACTGCATATACAAAGATTTTATTAAAATGCCTGATTTTGTTTTATAAATACAAAATTTTTGATATTTATAGCAGAGTAAAAATAATAATATATATATTAGTATCTAACAAGTTCAATAAAATTTATTTTTCTAGAAAAACATGTTAGAATTAGAACAAATTTATTTAAAACAAAAAACAGAAAACTTCGGCATCTAGAAATGAAAACAGGCTTTCCGCATTAACACTTATTTATAAACAATAACAATTCTTTAGATACATTCCAGATCACAAACAACATGCCAATAATAGAAAAGAAATTAAACATAAAAAATGAACTTAATTATCTACAAAAACAGTAAAAGTTTCTAAATTTTTTTTTCAAGCTATTTAAGGAAAGAGCTAAATATAGTAATGTTAAAACATACAAAAGAATAAAATTTGTTAAATATAAACTAGAAGATAATCTTATTCTAATATTTAACCTAAAATAAATTTATTTTAATATATTTTTTTATTTTTCTAATTATTCTCTCTATGACAAATTTTCATTCAAATCAAATTTTTTAAAGTTTATTATAGAAACTTCATTTATTCAAACCTCATTTAGGAAGTTCAGTTCAGTTATTTTTTGAACCAAAAAAAAAAAAATCAATTTTTTAAAAACTAAATTCCATTCTCCAGAGTCAGATGATATAACTGAGTTAATTACATTATTATGGCCCATAAATATGTTATAAAAAGAAAAATTGTCTGTAATAACAGACAAAAAAGTTTGTGCCAAACATAGAAAAGAATTTATTCCCTTTTTTTAGATATATTTAGAAAAATATTTTATAAACAATAAAATTTAGGCATTAACATTCATTTGTAAAACTTTAACAAAATTCTTCCAATTTTGAAATTTATTAAATTAATTTCCAATAAATCACAAATTAACAGCAACTATTAACATTTGTCTCTTAATAAATTATTAGAATATCTTAATCATTAAAGATTAGGATAAAATATTAAATTTTATGCAGTTATAAGACAAAAAAAAAATATATATATATATATAATCAAACACTTAATTCCCTCAAAAATTAATAAACCAGACATTACCGAGGACCTCTGAAAAAAGTCAGGTGATCCCTTTTGGCCTATAATGTGGCATATTATTATATGTCAAACAATATGAATTGTGTTATGTTTGTTTATTGATTTGTGTAGTCAGATATAAATATAATGTTGTATTATAAGTGTACATCTCACATGGTGCATAAATTTATATAAACAATACAAAATTAACATTAAAATATCAACAACATAGTTTACAATACTATTCAAAACAGATGTATGTCTATCAATATCTTTCATCCCTCATTTTTACATGTATATACGTATAAAAGTTATACATTGTATATATGATATACATTCACAATGTAAACATAACATCACAATAAAATTATGTAAAGAATCTAGACACCCACATTCGTTCTACCTTGCACACAGAATTGAAAACAAATATTGATCTTAATAAAATAAATTTAAATGGGTGAATGAATAGAATTAACTTTTGATATTCTTTACCAAATTCTACACCGTTTTTAAAATATTCTAAGAAAATGAATAAATAAATGTTATAATTTTATTTTAATCTTTACACAGATATTA